TTATGGTTAGTGGTAAGATTCATCCACCTAACTACAGACTAAACTGAGGTACAGGCATGTAAAATTCCTGTAATTCCAGCAGTTTGTCCTGCCTTGAGTAACCACGTAGGTTCCTAAAAATCTGATGTCTCTGTTTTGACCTGGACTTTTGGCATCTGTGTGTGGGTGTGCTCAGAAATGTCTTTTCTGGGAGTTTGGTACCTTTCTCAGTATAGTACTCCCTTGGTTCAGGCCAAACGAGTGGTGCTGCTCTGGTGGCAGAGCTATGGAGCTGATTTCTACTTTCAAGGCTGTTTGGGGAATTTTTGGTCTTAACAATTGCCACCTTAAAGTGCACATCTTGGAAAACGTGGTTGGGATTTTCAAACAACTCATTTCTTTCTGCATAGCTCACCCGGTGTCATTCTGTGACAGTGATTATTGGTGCCCCCAATGTGTAGTGGGTCACCTTACTTCTGTGAAGCGTTTTTGATCCTATCAAAAATAATGGCTGGGTCTCATAGACTGAAATAGCCCAGCAAAACTAAATCAAACACAAAGTTAATGTGTTTCAGTTAGTGTCTTTCAGTTAAAGAAATAGCTTCTTGTTAGTTATCCACAGTAGGTAAGGACCAAGTTCTATGAAATAAGCCTGTTTACCAAAATTCAGACCTTTTTCCTTGTCAAATCCAGCCGACACCAGGTATGTAAAGATTTTTTCACTCCAGTTCTTATGAAATCCAACCCCCCATGCATACTGGTCCACCTTTATCACATGCTAGAACTTCATCAAGATATCCATGGTAAATTCAGCCTAGAGGCTGATTTCCAGTGGCCAAGGGCACCCATGTTGCAAGCTGCTGCTTGTCCTCCTGAGGAGCAGCTGCAGAGAAGAAAAGAAACACCAGAGAGACTGGCTCAGAAGCTATAAACTTGCCAAAAACACGTGAGCAGCCCAAGCCTAAAGCCAGACAGCTTGTGAGACTTTCTCACCACTGCTTATGGTCCTGCAGGCTTTGAAGGTTCAGTGATTTTCCTGACTTTACCACCTTTCTCCCAAAGGCTCCATCAAGACAGGGCTACGTGGTCATTGCCTGGGGTCTCTGCCATACCAGTTCTTGACATGTAAGACATAAAGATTACTCTGTCTCTCTTGCTGACTTTAATTCTTAACATTAGCATTTCTGTTTGTGCTCTCTGCTGATGATGAGTTTGGTATTCTTCCCCTACCTGCTATGAAGCTGTTACAAATCAAGCAGAGATAAATACCAATTGGTTGAGATCCAGTTCCCTGAGAGTTCAGGGCTATTCCCCTCGCTCGGAATAAAGCAATGCGATGTCGATCATGCTTTGCACGTTTTACAGGTTGTATTTTCTGTAAGTGGATTCACAGATTGGGTGCTAATTTCTGGGAGGCTGCTTTGCCCTCACCATTCAGTCATCATTCGCTCTGCACCACTGTCATTCCTCAAGGTCTTGAGCAAGAAACTCCGTGAACTCTTCTACTTGTCTGCCATTGCCTTTTCTTCAGTAGCCTTCAATATCTGCATTATTCAACCCAGGATGGCCACCTCAGTGGTAGCAGACAATTTCCCTTCTACATTATCTGTCAGTGTTTTCATGCTCAGGTAGTCTTAAGTTTACAGCTGCGAGCGCGGACATTGTTATAGTACAGAAAAACGCTGTTTATATGCCCTGGCTTGTATTCTGCATCCTTCACCCTGCACAAATGTGCAACTTCACACAAATTCTCAATTTGTATAATGGTCCCAGACGATGCTTTGTCAAAATACATAAAGATTAAATCTTCAGTTTTTTGAATGTATCTGTAAACCTTACGAAGTATGTGCTTTCAGCAGCTGAATATTTTTATTTAAACAGGCATGTTCTGGATACAAGAGTTTTTATTTCTCCTTTCTGCATGAACAGTTTCTGTGACTCTGCCAAGCTGTATCATGGAGCTATATGTATACAAAACTGGTAGTGAAAGAGCTGGGGATGTGAGTGAAAATCTGTCCAGAGCCACCATTAATTCACAACCTCTAGATGAACATTGATATCACATTCTCTTCCTCCCCCTCTATTGATTTTGAACTATTTAGGTCTTGACTTCTAGAGATATCAAACACAGGACTTCAGTAACCAAAACCCTTCCTTTAAAGAAATGCTTTGTATTGTTTTATTCCTGGTAGATCCTATTGGTTTTCTGAGGCACTGTGAGGGGTGTTACAGCTTAAATCAATAGCACGTCAATGGTTGTTTAGGTGGTTGGAGTGTGAGATTACATCTCATTACTGTGGAAACTTCTTTAAAATAGTGATATAATTTAAAATGTTCAATAACATCAGGAGTTTGGTTTTAGCAATTTGTCATGGATGATGAAAACTAAGAGTCTTACCCAGATCCCACTGGATCCACAGGAAAAAGATTACTTCTGGGTTAAATGCACTTTGAGCTGATCCCAGAAGTATCAGAGGAAAGATGTGTGTCTGTCATAGCTTATAAGCTAAGGAAGGTAGGACACTCATATTTATGGACTATTTAAAAATCTTTGCAGTACATCATGGACACGTGGCTTCATTCTGGTTTTGATTGATTTGATAAGCCTGATGCAACTACATTACTTTAAAAAAACCCTAGTTAAGAAAAACAGTGCTTTGGCAGGTCAGCGAGATATTTCCTTCCTTGGGGTAGGCACAGACCAGGAGGAATGTACCTTTTATACCATACATATGTATTTTTAGTTCTAGGTCTGGCGTCTAATCCATGCAGGAACTGCAGCATAGCACTGAGCTGTTGCCTTTCCAAATAGACAGTGCAGATAATTCAAAGAGATAACTTTCAGCGTTCCTGAATCTGAGCTTTAGGTATGTGCAGTTGTACATTTAATCATGCAGTACTGGGTAAAGCTGATCACTCCAGTTCATTGACCGTATTTAAAGTGACCACAGATGGAAAACAAACTTAAATGTGATTGAAAGCTCCTTTCTCAGAGGTTAGGAAATACCAGGATAAGTACAGTCTGAATGTGTTTGATTTGGCCATCCTGTGTACGTGCCCAGCTGCCGTGACACGGTCATGGTGTAATTTTTCTACTGAACTTCACATTCATCCCATGCCCTAGCATGTCCTGGTTGGACGATGCTGTCCGAACAAGCTGGTCGATATTTTGTGTTATCTCATTGGACACTTCTAAAAGCCTTCCTTTGTAAAGGGTTTAAAAAAGCACAAGTGAAGTGTGCTGGGGAAGTTCAAAACCACAGACTCAGCTTTTTCTGAGTTACCCGTGATCAGCCTCAGGTGAAAAAATATACCTCGCCACCACCCTCCTGGCTTTCACCCCAGCTAACATCTCTGGTGTTGACTTAAGAGCTACATGATCATTCTTAAAACAAAGGTAACCCCCAAAAAAACCCCTCCCAAAACCAAAACCAACCACACAAAAACCACAACAACTAAAACCCCACAGCTGAGAGAAGATCCAAGACACGTAGCAGAGGATTTCGACAGTGCCGCAAAGATGGAGGAGTAATAGCTGTTTCAGTCACTTCAGGAAAACACTGCAGTTGCAACTGGTGTGTGTGTGTGTATATATATATATATAACTTTTTTTAATCAAGCTGTTCTTCTGATTTTCTTAATTACCTTGGTACACAGCTCGTGGGATTTTGCCTTCATTTCTGTAGATTGGAATCTTTCCCCCCCACCACCATCTGGGACACTTGCATCAGCTGTAATCCATTTGTGATTGAAATCCTTCAGGCTTTTTTTCAGTGGCTGGTGTATTTGTATCAAACAGGAGGTTTGTGATAGCGGTGCTGTGCTCCAGCAGGCACGGAGCAGTTGTACATACAAGTCCACATCATTAAATAAGGTGTAATGGAAATGAAAGAGAACAATGCTTTCAATGTTGTCTTGATCAGACCGTTCGCTTTAGGGCATCCGAGTTTTCTTTCTGTTCAACGTGCACCGTGTGTGCTGGGAAAGGCAGCATGGGGGGAGCTGACTTTGTGATGAGAGCTGTAGTATCTCACGGTGTTTTTAAAGCATGAAGGCACTTTGTTCTACCCCTGCAGCTATTTCCTGCTCCTGCTCAGGAAGGCAACGCACAGCGGGTGAACCTCGCCGCCTTTTCTTGCAAGTGCCGCCGAAAGGCTCCTCTCTGACTTGTACCTCAAACTGGTGAAGAAACTTCACAACTGTAGCATTTTTGGAGAGTGTACGTGTTATCTGACACCTACATACTTAATTGATATATCTACATATCTAATTGTCACCAGAGCCATTTTAAAGTTTGTAGCGAAGCCGTTTTTAGGTGTTTGCTGGTGATGTTGGAGAGAGGAGCACATTTTGCCCGGTGAAGTGTCCCGGCTGAAGCACTGCAGCAGGATGTGGATGTTCACCTATTTGTTTCAGGAAAAAGAAACTAAAATAAAGAAACAAAGCAGAACAATGCAAAGGGAAAGCACCAGCGAGAGAACAGTATGTTCTTTGTAATGCTTTTTCTTTGGGGACATCTATTGCTGGCAATAAGATTAAATCACTGAAACCTTCCCTGAAGCTACATCTGCCACTGCCTACATTTTCCAACCTCAGTAATAAAGTAACGTTTGCCATTGTTCGTTTCTTCTGGATTTCATTTCTTACAGATTTAACCAGCGCTATTTACCACAAGGCATTCAGCTCTTGCTTAAAGCTGAGATCGATGCCAAGTCCCTAAAAATATTCATAGCTCCAAAGAATCTGGTTTTAAATAATATCATAAAAAGTAGGCGATATTAATACAGCGGTTCACACTGAGTTCACGTCCTGCTGATGCCAATGTGTAAAGATGATGGAAGCCTAAGAAGCTGTAGACAAGACTACCCTGAAGTGGTGAACAAAATCCTTCTTACCTTTTTACTGTATTTTGATTACAGGAGTCATTCTCTAATCCCAAAATATTTTTAAAAAGTAAAATAAAATCTGTGTTACAGTTTTGCTTGGGAGGGAGGACTCACACCACCCCTTTCTCCCCACAGGACGCCATCGTGATCCATGAAGTTTATGAAGAAGGGGCGGCAGCCCGAGATGGCAGACTTTGGGCTGGAGATCAAATTCTGGAGGTAAAGGAGTCTCTCCATGTGTGTGCTTGCTCGTACCTTACTCAGGGACACTGGTGTTCAATGCAGCGTAGATTTCTTGTACATCGTTGAGTAGGATCTGTACTCGAACCTTCTTTTCTGTCACTGAGAGCATCCTAAAAAATTCATATTTCCTTATATATTCATATAAACTGAAGGTACAAATTGAGAATATATTAAATTTAATTGAGCAAGGCAGTTCTTGAATTACATAGCTCAGCTGTCATGTCCAATAGCTCTGTATTATTCATCTGTTTAATCTTTTATTCGGAGGCCGGCACTACCACCACTGCTTCAGTATCTCTGAGCTGGGCAAATGTGGGGCGAGAAGCGAGGGTGACTGAGCATCTCTGCCAAAAATCTCCTGTGGCATGGCTTGGGGAGCTACCGGCTCCTTCAGGCCATGGTCCATGAAACTGGTGAACACGCAGAATTATTTCTGTGAATAAATGTAGTGTTTTTCCCTCGGACAAGCGTGGAAATTGAGGCGGGAAAGGGTTAAGAGGGAAGTGTTGCTCTGCAAATGAAACTTTGGTCAGGCAGGGGTTCAGCGCAGCTGCTTGCAGCCTCGCGCTGTCAGATCAGGACAAATTCCCAGCATGGCCATTAAGGCTTTGGTGTGTAGGGTTAGAAAAATAGCGAGGGGTACTTGGGGAGTTGTCTTTACAGCTCTTGCACTGAAAATATTGTTTTTAGCGTTAAGGCCGAATGTTGTTTTCGTTTTATAAATAACTGTGTATTAGCAGAGCACAATAATTAGGGGATAAAATTGGGGAAGGTTAATTAATTATTCTCTGGCCAAACAGGAAAGTGCTAATGTTTGTGTGCCATAATATTGTTATGGTTTCAGCTTTTAAAAGCCATACTAATGAATCAAAAAGATGACTCTGAATTACTTTCAGATTGGTATGATAAAGCACACAGAGATGCCTGTGTCGAGAAAAGAATACCCCTGCAGTGTATAAATAAATATGTGCAGAATTAGTACAAAGTAATACAATCACTGTAGATTAGTCTTAATTATCTTAATGTAAAGTTAAGTGTGATTATAACTTTGCATATCTAGAAATACCGAGAATTATTTTCATTGCCTTAAAACTTACTATGTTCTGTAAGTGGATTAACACTGCATTGTTGTTCAGTTACAGTTCATGCTACTTCCTAACGGGACTTCAAAAATATTGAAGCATTTCTGTTTTTTGGTATTAACAAATAAAAGATTCTTTTGTCAGCAGAATACTGACAAACACCTTAAAGGGCATCTGTTAGGAGATTAAGTTTCAAGTCGCAATAGTTTTTATTTAATACTTCGGCATTCAATCAGAACTTCTTGTTCTCTCTGATATTACTAAAACGCTAAAACATTTTCAGGTTATCGTAAGAAATGTAACTGAGTGCTCCAGGAGCGGTCTTGTGTGCCATCTATTGGAACAAAGCAAAATAACCATTTAATACCTCCTGCCTGGGCTTTTCCATTGCCATCTGCTGATGCTTCTGGTTCCTTCTCTCTTTAGTTTGGTGATGTTGGAGGTCAGAGGAGAAGGAATTGAAGCAGTAAGAGATATAGGAAGCTCAAAGGAGCACATCCCACTTTGTCTGGGCATAAGAAAGAAGCATTGTCTGAGGTTCCAGCATTTAAAAAAGCAGGGAAGAACACCTTCAAACTCACAAGCCAAAATGTTTTGATTATTGTGATTTACTCCAACACAAAGCACCAGACTCGCACTCAATAGGAGATCCCAGGAGCTTGACCCGCTGGAAATGGGAGCACTAAATTAGAGTGCTGAGGGGTGTCAATTTGACAAATCTGTCCTGTCATGCTAGGGGAGGGTGTGATGAAAAGGTCATTTATCCACGTCATTTGGAAAGAAAACACTGATTATTCCAGGTGAACGGGATCGATCTGCGGAGCGCCAGCCATGAAGAAGCTATCACTGCGCTGAGACAGACGCCCCAGAAGGTGCAGTTGGTTGTTTATAGAGATGACGCGCATTACAAAGATGAAGAAAACCTGGAGATTTTCTGTGTAGATATTCAAAAGAAAATGGGCCGAGGACTTGGGCTCAGCATAGCTGGGAAACGGTAAGAGCATCTCTCTGATCGGGCTGCACTTCAAATTTTGCTTTTTGCTGTATGAATATGTGTAGCCATTAAATGGAATCTGAAATAAAGGGAATACTCTGTAAGGAGCAGAATTTTGTATTTATATGTCTTCAAGGATGCTGTGGCCAGCAGGAGCAGGGAAGTGATTGTGGCCCTGTACTGGGCACTGGTGAGGCCACACTTTGAATCTTCTGCAGTTTTGGGTCTCTCACTACCAGGAGAACATTGAGGAGCTGGAGCATGACAAGAGAAGGGCAACGGAGCTGGGGAGGGGTCTGGAGCACCCGAATGATGGGGAGTGGCTGAGGGAGCTGGGGAGGTTCAACTGAAGAAGGGGAGGTGAGGGGAGACCTTATCCTTACCCTCTCTCCAGCTCCTGAAAGGAGGGGGCAGCGAGGTGGGGGGTCAGTCTCTTCTCCCAAATAACAAGCAATGGGATGAGAGGAAATGGCCTCCAGTTGTGCTAGGGCAAGGTTAGATGGGATATGAGGAGAAATTTCTTCACTGAAAGGTTATCAGGCACTGGAAGGGGCTGCCCAGGGCAGTGGTGGAGTCACCATCCCTGGAGAGGTTCACAGACCGTGTGGATGTGGCACTTGGGGACATGGTTTAGTGGCCATGGTGGGGTTGTGTTGACAGTTGGACTTGATGATCTCAGAGGTCTCTTCCAACCTCAATGACTGATTCTGGGGCTGTGGTCCTGGCTCCTCTTCTGTGCAGTGAAGGCTGCTGCTGCCCAGGAGAGCTCCCAGACCTTCATGGTAGCTGTGTCTCAGGAGCCCTACCCATGGCTTTTCTGGTTTTGAAATGGGGAGAGAAACCTTCCTACTTCCAAATACCAGGATACGCCTTTGAAAATGGATTTATCTCATACGGTGGTAGGAAACAGCTGCTTAATAAAATGTGACTTTTTACTGATGTATTTCTGAACCATTGCTGTTAGATCGTTCAAACCAGGATACTGATAGATTTAATCTTTCATTGCTAGAAGAGATTTACGGCATGACACTGGTGAGCGCTCACTCGGCGTTGGTGCGTAAGAGTTGTGTGGTTGCTCTTCCGTATTGCCAAAAGAATTTTTCTCAATTACATGTCACAGTGTCATTATCTTGACTGTGTCTGGTCAGTAAAGTTTCCACAGCAGTTTTTTTTACAAGAGTGGCAATGTTTAACCCAGGTGTTGTGAGCAGATTGCGGACTGGGTAATTAATTTAGCTTATGTAAATGACCCTACAGATGGTAATCGCAGTCTCCAGCCCTCCTGCCTTTGCTTCTGTGCAAAACTTCCTGTACTATTGCGAAGTGCTTTGCTTGGGGGGGTTTCTGTCTTAGAGGTAGCCCAATTTCTGAAGTCAGTTAAGTGATATATAATTCAGGTTGTGAAGTGTTGTGTTCTTCGGGGGTGATGGATACCAAATGCCAAATCTTGGTATTGCAGCTCCAGCTCACACCGCCGCGACCCTGGGAGCTGGGGCCAGCACAGAGGTGTCCTGCGGCCTTTGGGAGGGGATGGAGCTGATAAAGAAATATATTCCCCTCATCTGTGCGGCCTCTGCTCTTGAAACCTCACTGCAGGAGGACAGCCATGAAGCTGGGTTTTCTGCTGCATAACTCATGTGCAAACTGTAAAAGTCTGCAGCCTTCTCCTGCTTTTCTGCTGGGGGCCTCCAGGCTGCAAGAAAAGAAACTGAGCTGAACCTTCAGGGGAAATACAGCAAAAAAAATACATCTGAGGCTTCGTAATTCATATCAGGCACAACAGGACATAGTTTAAGTAACTCCGTCTCAGATTGATCCTTGACTTTTTATTCATACGAGTGGTACTTTTTATGAATCTTTATGGGTCGTACCATCAGAGCAAACAGTTGAAGGGGAAAGGCAGCACTAAATATAGCCAAACACGCCTTGGTTTTAAAATGCGTAGTTTTTTTTACACTCAAACAGTTGAAGGGGGTTTAAAACTAGTTCTTCCTCCGCTCACAGGTTTTTTTTAATGTCTCTTAAATGTGAGTAATCTAAATTGGTCTCCCAAAGAATATTGGATTGTGTAATTAGCCATATGCTTCTTGCATTGTTAGAAATGGCAGTGGAGTGTTTATCTCTGACATTGTTAAAGGAGGAGCTGCAGACCTTGATGGAAGATTAATTCAAGGAGATCAGATTTTGTCTGTAAACGGGGAGGATATGAGAAATGCCTCACAAGAGACTGTTGCCACTATACTTAAGGTGAGTACGTAATACATTTTAAGATTTAAACTGGTGGTTACTGACACTGCGCAAGGTATTTTATCCTGAAGTGCTATTTACACATATGCAGGACAGCTCAAACTGATTAGCGAAACAGGAATTTCATCTGAAATAACTTTGGGAGATTCATTTAAAATCATTTTTCCTCGTATATTTAGAAGCGGGATGATACGGAGTGGGAAAACAAAGGCACATGTATTATTTAGGCATTTATTTGAAAATGCAGCTGTATATTTCAGAAAAATATTTGGAAACGTGAGAGGCATACAAATCAGAAATGAAAGAAAATGCTTTTGGCTTTGCCGTACTGACCTGCAGCTATAAAATGGCAGCTTAAATCCATTTCTGCACGGCTTTCTGTCTCACAGCGGAGATTTTATACTCTGAAGTTGTGCAGTCTGGGAGAATTTGCTTTTTTCCATTAAAGCGTGTGGTGGCTTGAGTGAGAGGAGAGGGCAGGGGACGGCCGGACTGCGAGTGCCTGATGTTGGCTCCTCCATCTGCCCATATCAAGGAAGGATGCTGCAGAGCCATTTCTATTCAAAACTGCATCTGGAGACCAGGGCTTTTCTCTGCCATCACCACGAGTGTTTCTGCACATCATTTCTTTCATTTTTGAAGGAAGAGTCTAATTATTTCCTTGCTTTTTCTGTTCGAGGTTGATGCTTGGCCAAAAGGGTACCTATTTAAGAACTGGAAATCAGTGATATAGGGGTCTATTACTAAGTTGAACCCATATGTGTTAAATTCACCCTTTTCTGCAGCAATTTTCCTCTGAAGTGTTTTGGGTTTTTTTAAATTGTCTGTTAAAGAGTTGGGGGCTTTTTGTTTATTTTTACTGGGTAATTGCCCATCTACAGTTTGCTGGTGGGAAGATTCACACTGACTTCAGCAACCAGGATGAACCTTCAGGATAAACCAAAATCCAGGAACGAGCACTTTTTGTATTGTCTAAATACAAATGTTAATGTTTTGAACATTCCTTGTGGTTTTCTTCACGGAGCTGTGGTGCTGAATATAAACATAATTCTCTCCAGGAGAGCATGAAATATTACATGTCTACTTAAACGCTGTGCATTTTGGGCTTTTTTTCCAAGTGTGCCCAAGGCCTAGTGCATCTTGAGCTTGGGAGATTGCGAGCTGGATCATGGCTGTCGTCACGGAAAACATCCCAAAACAGTCAGGTTAGTGACAAATTCATACGGATAAAACAGAGCTGCGAAGGGCAGGGCACAGGCGTGCACGTGAGGCTCAGTCCTCCCGTAGGTGCTTATGAGGATGTGGAATAAAATATTTTATCGCAATAATTTTCTGTGCTGAACTGCAAAGTAGTTGTCCTGTTGAAATGCTGATTAAGTAGAAGAGCTAGTTAATGTGGTTTTTTTAAGGAGTGCCTTCCTGAGACACACCACAAATGTGGAATGTCTTTCTCAAATGATGATGCCCAGAAATACTTTTAGACCTGCAAAAAATTGCTGAATGTGTTTTCTGCAGCTGTTTTGTCAATCAAAGCGAGTTAATGAAACTGAACTGTATCTTTGCCTGTCTTAGGGCAGAACCACACAAGAGCTGCTTTGCTCTCAAAGAAAACACAGAGCAATTTCCTACTTCACTTGCTTTTTACCTGGAGCGAGGACGACAATTCATTTTGCAGTCAGTGCAGCGCTTCTCCCCTCTCCCCGCGCCCCGCAGTCAGCTCAGACACTGATACCATTAGTAAAAAAACAAGGCGAGACGACATAGAAACTTTTCTTAATGGATTTTCCTTCCAAAGACCAACCGTTTTGCCGTGCTATTTAAGTTGCTGATGCTCCATCTCCCTCTCACACCAGAGGCCGGAGCTGTAGAGGGCTTAGAGGGGATGGAAGTTAAAGCCGAAATGCTTTTAAGGAGGTCAGTAAGAGGGGAGGCTTGTCCTGCATGAGCAACCCAAAAAGGGTGCCAAAATCATCGTCATGTGGCATGATTTCTTCACTTTCCAAAGGCCAGCAGTGATCCAGGCTCCTGTTTGGGTGCGTGAGGTGTCAGGAAGGGCTAAAGCAGCCGTAGCCACGTGGGAACAGCTGGGCTAAGCCCAGCTTTAAAAATCATGACTAAATAGCATTGGAGAAACATCTGCACTGCGTGCAGCAGGCGAGGAGAAATGAAATAACGGGGAAAAATTACACTGATTGCATTAAGGAAAGGCAGCAGGCTTGTGTATTACTTTCTTTTGGTTGTTGTATGAACAGCTGGCATAAGCAAGAGCAATGTAATCAAAAAGTAACAGTTAAAAATGATCCTCCCAGTTTTACTGTGTAAAACTCATAGCTGAAAGGGGGAGAAAAGCACCATAGTATCTAACATGAGTCTGTGTAGCAAATCGGATCAAACAATGTCATCCCCCTTTACAACATAAGAGGCCTTTGCAAGAATCTGGTAATTTCTCTATTTCTTGTAATACAAGAAATCTTAGTTGCTGCTCTTAATGTGGCGTCATTTGAGAGCCTCCGTCTCGCTGCTGCTAAGTGACTTGGTGATTTTGAAAACTGAATAAATGTTTCTCAGCAAAACTGCTCCAAGAGTTATAAAAATCTTGGCAGATAACCCGGCAAATCAACTTGAATGATTTGCACAACTGCAAGTGACGTTTTAGAAGCTGCTGGCCAAGAGCATCCAGAACTTTTGTCCTCACTTGGCTTTTTTCTTGGTCCGTTGCATACCTTTAACAGCCCAAATCTAAGCCTTGCAGTACAGGACAGTGATTTCTTTTCATGCGCATTGCAAATTATGTGAACTGACCCGTGAATTGGCAAGCGGAGCTGGAAATTGTGCTCTGCCTGTTGTTCTTCACCGACAGCTGCGCGCTGGTCAGCACGGATAAATGCTGCCAGGGCTTTTGATTCCCGACTCAATGTGTTCAGAGGGGGTGAATTCTCTGCTGTGGATAGAGCGGTCTAGACCAGATCTGTGTTTTTTATAGGGCAGCTTGGTTGAAAAGGTCTGGCCCTCGGTGAAACCTGTTGTTCAGACATGTTTCCTAAATTGATAACGATGTTTCCTCGAGGGTCAAGGTCTGAAGATGAAGGTAGGGAAAAGGAGGGCTGGAAATGGACAGCCAGGAATTGGTAACATGGCAAGCAGTGATCTTCAGAGGCTTTTGTCACCTGAAATAAGAGTAGGTTCTTGGTCAAATAAAGGAGCAGGGTCAGTTATAGGACCTTGTAATCAGACGGTAGATTTATCTAAAACACCAAGGCCTGTAGATTACTGCTGCGTCACGAAGCAGGTGTCATCGTTATCCCCACCTCGTGTGAGAGGAGCTTCTACGTGTCCTGCTCCTGCACACTCAGTGTAGGGTGAGGTACCTGCAGGCTGAATGGTGGGGAAGATGCCCTCAAGCTTCAGCAGCAGCCATCATCCCTCTGGAAATGAAGTTGGAGGGGTTTGCACTCCTGTGGCCGATGTGGTGTTTCCAGTGTGGTTGGCACAGAGCGTGGCTGCACCCGTATGTTGCAGGAACCGGTTTAAAGTTAACATTTGGGTTTGACTCACAGGTTTTGATTTATTTTTAACTGCAGGCGAGCCAACAGAGTGCCCATAGCCACTTCCACCCTGCGCTCGCTCCGGTCCTCTCTACCTTGCAGAACTTTGTCAGCACAAAAAGGTCTTCAGCAGATGTGTCTCAGAGAAACTCAGGTATAATCTGGGCGGCTGTCAGAATAGTTGCATGTTACTTGCTTTATATTTGTGCCAGTTTAAAAGCAAAGCTGAATACTTTAATCTGGTTTTCCTACTCAGTCTCCCAAAAGATGTACCACTGATATTTTAAGACCCGAACACTTTCCAGCAGATGACATTATTTTTATGTCTGCCAGTGAAGTAATGGCTCCTCTATTTTAAGTGCAGTATTCCTGCGCCTTGCTATTCCCCAACGCCCTTGTCAGAGGCTTAGCACAGGCCAGGTTCTCGCATTAGAAACAGTTTTCTCAGGGAATAAAGCTGCCACCACTTCATTTATATCTTTGTTGCTCTTGACTCTACAAAGGGGTGTTTTGTAATGAGAAAGTCACAATGCCCAGTTTGTGATTTGCAGATTTAGCAAGTGCTAAATCTACGACCTGCAGGAGCCTGGGGACAGCCTGGGCATTTGTGTGCTCTGACCTGCATCAGGAATTGGTAACCCTTGCTCACATCTGACCGCTGTTAGGAGTAGAAGACGTTTCTTCTGGCGGTTTGCATGCGCTGGAGGATGTGTTGTGCAGCTTTCTGGGCAGTTTTGAAGGGCCCTGCAGCACTGAGAGCGCATGTCTGCACACCCTGATGCAGCACTCCCAGGGCTGGGCTGCCCGCTGCCCTGCAGACCTCGGTGATGCTGCCTTGGTTACTCAGAGCAGATATCTGTGCCAGCACGTGTGCATGGCAGGGAGAAATATCGATAGGTGTTATTAAGGATCGTTAACTCTTGAAAGATAATTCTGCCTGCCTTCTCAAAGGTTCTTCAAATGGTTTCATTAAAGCTGGTAGAATTAGGGGTTGGTATAGCAGAGCCCAGGACCTGACTACACCATCAGATTTTAGGCTGTGTAGTCTTAATTCAAGTAATTCCTTACAAACGTCCTGTTTGGTTTGGGGTGGTTTTTTTTACTTTTTTAAGTACTTTTTAATGCCCTATGGGTAGATATAAGCCAGCCAGACTTCCTGGCTGTCTATTACTTGCCAATACAGCACAAATTAGGAGAGGAAATCAATGGAACCTCAACAGTCTCAGCCCAGCTGCATGCTCTACCCTTTGTGATAGGGACACTGTGATTTATGAATAATAAACCAATCTTTAATTGAGTGCAATGCACAATAGGGCTTTTCTTCAGGCCGGCAGAGCACTGCTACTCAATAGATTGCGGTGAGCAGCAGCGTCACGGTGACATCCGTCAGCCAGAGCGGTGACATCCGTATTCATCCCTGGGTGAAGCAGAAATCCCGTCCTCCTCACGCAAGCAGCACTGCCTGGTTTGGCACAGGAAGGCTCTGCTTCTGCTCGGTGATAACTCTGACTAGGCAGCGAGGGACCATTGTCACCTGACAGTGTTATCTCTTAATTATATTATCTCTTAATTACAGAAGCTAATTGTTTGTTTCTTTATTAGTAGGAGCAGATACGGGCCCGCGGACTGTGGAGATAATGAGGGTCAGTGAGTTATTTTCTGTCAATTCAAAAAGCTGACACCTTTTACTGAGGTTGTTGATTTTTGTAGTGTTTCTCAAAAGTAAACTCTATTGTTTATGTTTGCAGTGGGTTGTTGGATGTATGTCTGTGTGAGGATGCATCTGTCTGTCAAATCTACTCATTTTCTCCCAGTTCAGTAAATCAAATGAATCCATTACTGCTATACCCTGAACGCTGACCTCTACCAGTTGCTCTAATTGCAAATGTTGTTTTGTTCTGCTTTGTTTTAGGGACCAAATGATGCACTTGGTATCAGTATAGCAGGAGGGAAGGGAAGTCCGTTAGGAGATATTCCCATCTTCATCGCTATGATTCAAGCCAGCGGTGTGGCTGCACGTACCCAAAGACTCAGAGTGAGTAGAGGGCACCTCTCAATATTTCCTATTTCAAACCAAAAAAAACCCCCAGTATTTGCAGTGGTCTTTAAATGTATATGTTCATCCAGACCCAGGGAGGGCAGCAACAGGCTGGCTGGAAACCACAGGCGTTTGGGAGCTGCAGACATCATTTAGAGCTCAAACCAGGTAGAAACCTGACCAGAAGTCAGTTGTTTAATCTTAAGGCCCTTATAAAGAAATGCCAAAAATAAAGCACTGTTATCAGACCCACGGGATTATACCATGGTGAACACTTTCTGGTTTTGGAGAGAGTTTCAAGGAATTATTAGTATTGAGAAGATCTTATTATGCAGATACATAGGATTGTGTTGGCCCATGAGATTCATCAGTGCACGCTGCTACATTTGTGCCATGTCTCTAATAGTATTACACCAACAGTCCTTACTGCCAGGGTCAAGATCATTTTTATGTATAAGGAGAAGAAATCATCTAGGTTAATTAGATCAATATCAGAAGTGCTTGCTTTTCTATACTGCATTCAGCATGTGCAAACAGAGTTTGTAAGAATATGAACTTGTCTGTGCATTTGAACACAAATGAATCCTTTCTGGAGGGGAGAGGGAGGGCAGCAGTGAAAATCTCACTCTCTCTGCTTGCAAATGGAGATAGTAAAATACAACCCGGCTTTGTTTCTCTGATCGCATTGTTATTTAAAAAAAATCCGTATTGTACTTGCTCTGAAGAATGGTAAATGATCACTGGCAATGCAGAATTCTCACAAAAGGGATCCTGCAAAAGAGAAGCATGACTGTGGGGTGCCAAGTTCATGAGGAATTTTAAGCATTCTTAATTTTAATTTTCCCTAATGCTAGTAATTTTCCATTACTGTTGTACTTTCAGGTTGGAGATCGGATTGTCAGTATTAATGGGCAACCTTTGGATGGGCTGTCTCATGCAGATGCGGTTAATCTACTAAAGAATGCTTATGGGAGCATTATCCTGCAGGTATGGTGATAAATTGAACATGCAGCTGCATGAGGGTAGATAAATGGCATTCAGGAAAAAAAAAACCAAAACCCTAAGCATCACTGGCACAAGACATCACAGGATTGCAGGGTGCTCGCTGATGGGAATTACACAGAATGAAAGCAAGAAATAATTTTCATTCAAAAATTTTTTTGTTGCCACTCATGCAGGCTGTGAGCATGATTATAGAAAAGCACAGCAAAGAGAACAAAACTTGTTGCTACACACGATAAATCAACAAGCTTCCGTGTTTTGAGGTTTTTTTTAATTTGAAGTTAACTAGGAACAAGTAATTACATGCGTGTGCATGTCTGCCTGCGTGTAACTAGACTGTGACCAGACTGCCCACGGTCTTCATTTCCTTGTTCTTAAAAGGGAGAGAAGAAAGAAATGCTGGCAGCATTTAGTACAAATGATAGCATCATCATTAAGACAGTGCTGCCTGGAATTGATTATTCCACAGGTAATGAATAATGACGCTCGAGAGAGAAAACAGTGTTATCACTGCCACGTTTATACGCTAGCTAAAAGAAAGACGTGTTCTGCCACTTTGGCTCTAATTGCTGCCTGCCAGTATATTCATCTTTCGTTTATTTTTATGTTTACACAAAGAAATGGAAGAAATAGTTGCCAGAGAGAATTCAAAACCCTACTCATTTGCAGAATTATTGTAACAGTTGGAAAACAAGCTTAAGAGGTACCACTAAAATCTATTCGGATTTTCTTTATCATCACAGCATATTGGATTGGAACACATCGTGAGAGATTTTTGCAAGCTTTTTGCTTGCATTACAACACAAATGTGACTATAGAAAATGTGGAATTTTTTTTTAAAAAGGAAATTATCATAAACTTAGGTTTAGACTTGCTCATTCTTTGTCTGTCCGTGAACTGCTGACCTGGGAAGTGATGAGCCAGTTCCAGAGCAAACGGTGCATTTGTGTCGTTCCATTGAAGTCAAAGGAAACACACAGATATGCACCAGCTGAGGGTTTTCTGTTGAATTATAGTTATCATATTGTTACTAATGTGGAGTAATTTCACTTCTCATGTCAACAGTATTCCCTGAATAGAAAATGAAAGCTTGCTGCAGAACCCAAAATTGCTAATCTTGAAAGCTGTAACACAGCGTATTCCACCTCATCGTGTATTTAAAAATATTCCTGCT